GCTCGGCTCCCGCCAGGCGCGGCCCTCCCTGCAGCAGCCCCTGCTGCTTTTCCCTCGTTTATCACCGGAGGGGGTGAGCGGTGTCTGTAGGCATTAAAAAACCCCAAACAACGACCCGGGAAGGGGTGTGAACGTTCACGTTCTGACTTTTGGTGTTGTTCCGATTCACAATAAAATCCAAGTTCCTCCTCAGCACCTGTGTGGTCGTGGCATGTGATCAGAACGGCAGCGCCTGGGGGACCCAGAGACAAAGCCTGCTACATAAGCCGTGAGAGAATTTATCTGTAAATCCAATTAAATTTGCACCTAGCGCTATTTTTGCTTCTGCTTTTTTGTTTAAAGATGGGTTTTTAATAGGCTTGTATTTGCTTACTAAAAGGACTGGATTCTATCTACAGAATTAAGTGCTTTTTTGGTTCTGCACTAACCACATTGCCTTGGGGATATCTTGGTCTTGGAATTCACCACAAAGGCTCTTTCAGCACCTTTTGTTGTCTTGAAGATTGAAAAGAACTAAGAGAAAGAACGTTAAGCTGGCTTCCAGCAACAAAAATTAGGATAGTGTCTGCATTTATTTTAAAATATGAATGTGGATATAGCTGAGTATTAGAATGCAGTTACTTGTAAATTCTGTACAATTTTACTGAGAAAAAAGTTATAACCACCAGTGGGATTTCATCTGCTCTCTTCTGAAATTTACTATGCTGGTTAATGTCAGAAAAGGATGTTAAAGGAAATGAACCCATGAGCCAACCTTAAATAACAAGTCCTGTATTCCAAATAGAAGATACTATATTTAACAAAAGTCCTTGTTAAACAAAATGTTACTGTTAAATTTATAAGTACCTTTTTTCTTTTACCATGAAGTTTTAAGAAAAAAAGCTTGAAATTATATTTTTATGCAACTATCTGTAGTATCCCAATGTACCAGAGGAACATATATCTAAAGATGCAAGATGTCTATCCACATCCAGACCTCAGTTCATGGGAAGGACTTCCAAATCATATATGACATACAACAAGGGATGTATGCAAATTATAAGGCTACTTGATTAAAAGAGATGTGTAATATTATATTTCTGTTGGATTGGGCTTCTTCTAGTATGGTATTCTGAAGGAGGGGACAGACCCAGAGCCTTTCTCCCATACACTGATTCCATCTCATTTTGACTTTTGTAACTTGACAAGACCCTCTCTCTCTTATTCACAAAACAAAATTCATGTGAGACTTAAATATGGATGTCTTTTACATTCTGTAAAAAAATATAACGTTAATAGTTGATTTTGGTTATAGTTACCTACTATGTGAAATAGAGGAGAAACTGTGGGGTTACACTGCAAACATGTCTCCAGAGAAGCAGGAGGAAGAAATAGAGTATGTGAGCTTCATATTTTATTTGGCTACAATATACATATTTATAGGCTCCTTCAGTGATGATCTGGTCACACCACTTGAGTAAGCAGGGAAGAAAATACACTCCGGTGGTAATCCCACATAAACCTACCTGGAAACCTTCCCAAGATAATCACATGAAATCAGAGAACTCTAACTTTGAGACAGAGTAGGGTGTTGGCAAGGCAGTAAAAATCACAAGGGGTGTAAAAACCTCAGTGAAATAATTGAAGTCACCTTTGATGCTGGGTAATCGCACAGCGTTATCTCATTTGGAAATTACACCACCCTCACACGTAGCCAGCACAGTCATGGTTAAATGAGAACATTACTGCATATAGGAGTGTTCAAAATGATAGATTGTTTCTGTGCCAGGTGCTTGCGAGTCAAGACAAGCCAGGCTCTTTGGCAATATTTGAGTTACATGTGACAGAATCTAAAACTTTTTTTTCCCCCAGCCTGCACAAAATTCAAAGATAAACTTGAATCGCTTTTCACAAGGTCAGTTTTAGCCAGCCTGGACTAGTAATATTCTGCAGTTGTGGGTAAAAGTCAGTACCAAAGATCAAATCCTGCTTTCAGTGATTTCAGTGAACCAGCAGTAAATCTCCCGTAGCACCAGTAGCTCAAAGTCAGGGACTGCGTGTCCGGAGATGACCGCAGCTGCTCTCAGCAGTGACCCTCCTGAGGAGGCGACACACACAGAAGCCAACTCCTCCTGCTTTAGGAAGCATCATTCTCCTCTCAGCGTCATTCCGGACCGTCCATCCAGAAGTATTCAACCGGTATTATTTAGGTTAGCGCCTGAGCGTGGGATTTGCGGAGAAAAACCCTCAAATCTTTTTTTATGTGAGGTGTCCGCAGGGCCGGGCTCCCGGCGCGGCGCTGGGAGCGGCTGCGTTGCCCTCTAGTGACAGGCACAGAAATTCCTGCCCCAGCAGCAGGCCACCGGCAGGTCCTCTCGCAGTGTTGGGCACCACCCAGCACCGACGCTTCATCGGCGCCGATGAGATGGGTAACGGCAGCAAAAGAACCTTCTGGAAAAATATGCGGCTTTGGAGAGCCATTCACTGAGGAGGCCTTGGAGTTTGAAATCTTAATCAGTGTTTTGACATCTTTCATGCACGATTCCTGCACTTTCCAAAGATCAGTGAGAAAAAATAGGTGCATCACATTGTAGCTGAGTGTCAAAATATTTTTGGCTAGAAATTAAAAAAGAAGTTACTAACAAAGATTAAGTTTTTAAGAATCACCACTGCTGTTGAAGCATTCATCTGAAATCCTGTCCTAGGAATACAGACTACAGCTACATGTTCTCTACATTGATGTAACATTAAAGACCTGACAATCAGATTTCTCTGGGGGAAAATCACAATTCTCAAGTGAGTTCAGACAAGTGATGACACAGACATATCAACTTGATAAGACAGCACAGCCCTGGATTAGCATAAACCCAGATACAAATCGCCTAATAAACATCAGTGAAACCATTCTGATGTATAATATCTGTACTGGTGAATTAACAGGCTGATATTATTAATATGATGAAAGATAGATTCCCTGTAAGAAAGAGCACTAAAATATCAGAAATCTCTCAAATATTCACCAACTAATTAGTTGTCTCTACCACGCTGACAGTTCTCAGAATATTTGGTTCATAAATCTCCTCCCCCTCCATCCCAGCATAAGAATTACCCCTGGAGAAGAAAAGGATGCCCTGCTGTGTCTCGTAATCTGCAATTAGAAAACGATCCCAAGGGGAACTATTAGCAGCTGGTACTGTTTAGAGCTGTCCAGACAAGCACTGGAGAATCTGGAACCACAACCAGCTGTCTGGCAGTCCTCTCACTCATCCCATCTTGCAAACAGCAGGATCTGCACACAGCAGAGATTTTGAGCTACTGTATGATAACGTGCTCTCACGTGCTATGGTAGAACAGGTCTGTTCTGCTCCACAGGGGCTTGAAAGTGGAAACAGTATCTCATTCAAGACAAAGGTCTTGAGTGCCGTGTCTTGGGTATTGTAATGCAATTGTAGCATTTTTCAGCTTTATCTTCCTCCTCTTAAATTGGCTTATACTTGTCCTTTCAACAGTCCACACAGAATTAGATGTAATTTGAAAATAAATTATCCTTGGAACAGCAGAACACCTGAGGAATTACATGTCCCTGGGTAGGCAAGGGCATGGTACTAAGAATAGGAAAGCCAGAAGGGTTGAGTGGCACAGATGCATCTCAGGGAAGTAAAAAGAAGGAAGATGAGGAATGTCCATAGAGGTGAGAGTGGCCTGGAAGTGGAAGAATTGCAGATAGTGTGGTTGAGAAAAAGCAATTGAGAAGATTTTGCAGGTGAGTTCATAAGGAAAAGGGTTGAGAGTAGTCTTTCTGCTCACTAACATCTTGCTCATCTGACCTCAGGGTTACAAAATTTCAGGGATTTAAGATGTTGACATAGCATCTTGTCAGGTCTGCTAATTTGTATATGAAATGCATTGCAGTTAATACCATGGAATTTACAGAGATTCTTCATAGCTGATTTCTTGTTGATGTTAAGCAATGCTTCTGAGGAATCTGAAAATTATCCCAAGAACTGGACTCATTTGAGCCTTAGCTATTTGGAAAATTTGTCAAGCTTTGAAATAGCGTTTTGCCATTTTTGCTAATTACTTTCAAATCAAAATATGTTTTAATTGCCATTGTCATGAACAATGCAACACTCTTACTTATAATGATGGCAAGTCTGTCTCCTAAAATCAAAATTGCTCCAGGCTATTTAGCATATGTGTTTCAAGTAAACAATGGTGCCATTTCTTGAACAGGAAATTAGGATCCTTTTTAGAAAATTTAATTGTGTAATAAACCAATCCTTTATTTCTCTGCACTGATTTATGCATAATGGGCCTCTACACAAGCAACTGAGTAAACAGTGCACACTGAAATCTCAGTGAAAAGTGCATGTTATGATGTTTGACACTAACCTTTTTCTTTTGGGAAAGAAATTAAAGGGGGCTTTCCAGATATACAATAGCTATAGATTTCCTGATTGGCTGTTTAAAAATGAATGTTTAGTGGTGCAATAAACAAACATGCCACTTGTTTGACCACAGCGAAAACAGATGGCAAGACTTCTTGGGTTAATCTGTGCTGTTTGTGCACTGGTTAGACTGTCATTTATTGAGCCATATGGCTCTGTGTAGGCTCCATTACTGTGAAGATATGGGTGTGGTTTTGTAACCAGCTTAAAGTAACCTAAAACAGAGCTGTGTCCGAGAGAG